TCGGCGCGTGAGTTTGTGGGGGTCGTTGAACTTTCAAATCCCCCTAACTATAAGTTCTACAGTTTGCAAGCTTTTGTTTACTGCCGTTTGGTTGCTTCCATTTTCAAACTTTTTTTCTGTCGCCATAACCTAAAGCTGTTTATGCCGAGTTTCGGCTTTATGTCGAAACTTTTGCTGAGTTAAATATTGCTAAAAAAAAAAAAAGAAAAAAAAAAGAAGTGTGTTGGACGAATGGATCGATGCACATAGTTAATTCGTACCGTACTCACACACTAATCAAAAATAAATGTATTCTCATGATGTTCTATAACGCACCTCTTCCCCTCGATTGTGTGTATTGAAGAAAGAATTTGTCACAGATGATCCTTATAAAGATTGTTTCTAACTTACGGCAAGTTTTGAATTTTCCACCATTTGTGCGGTAATGTGTTAGCAACGGAAGAAAAGAAAAAACACATTGACAGCTGACTGCTTAGGTTTACTAAAAATGGAGCATTGCACAAGAGAGCAACACGTTTTTATTGTTGAACTGTATTTCAAAAAAAAAAAAAAAAACGTAAGTTTAGCGTTACTCCTTCGAAAACGCGGCTGATCAAGCAATGACTGTTGCTGCTGCTTGATGTTGTGCTATGATAACCCAGCTCTTTCTGCCTAAATTGGGCTGTACTGACGTGAAGGACATGCGGTTTCAATAAGACGCTACAACATACCATACATCGCGTGAAACAATTCAATTACCGAATGAGACATTCCCTGGTCGTGTACTCTCTCGTTTCGGTGATCAGAATTTCGATGAAGAAACGCGTATTTGCCAGGAAAGTCGTGGAAGCCATTTGTCCTACCTGATGTCCAACATATTTCAATAAAAATAATTACAATTTAAAAAAGGAAAAAAAAAAACTCCGTTTTCTATTTAATTCACCGAAAGCAACGAATCTCGACTAGCAACTCAAGGGTCGTGGGTTCGAATCTCAAGTGCAGTAGAGTTTTTAATAAAATCCGATAGCCTTAGATGCTAGTGCTTTTAAGAGTTTAGTCTTAGAATTTATTTCTCTGGCGGAATTAATAATAATAATAATATTTAATTCAAATCACGCGTAAATTTCCGGACACCCTACAGGTATAGGTAGAGAGAAGAAAGAGAGAAGAAAAGTAAAATGCTTTCTACGTTTGTAGTAGTAATACGCCTTTAAGGCATAATAATGTTTCTCTTTTTTTTCATCTCAAAATGAAATCCGTCTTCAACTCGTATATAATTCTTACCCGCCGTTGGTATGGGTTGTTCGTTATTGCTTATCAGCATGGTTTTGAAGTGAAAATAAAACTTGCGAAAATCAAGTAGGAAGCCTGACTTTGACTTAGGTATTTCCGCTGCAGCTTCATAAGTCAATTTGTAAGTCATATAACCTGTGATCGGATCGGTCCGTTTACAGATAGGCTTCCTATTCTATAGGAGAAAAGTAAATACTACTATATTATTAGATTCTATGATCTCGATAGTAATTGTTGAATGGAAACTTGGCTTATATTTCTGCCAAATTCTAAGATCAATGTCAAATTGGATCATCAGCACCATTTTATTTATTTTTTTTGTTTCCAACTAATTGACTTTTACGTGCGGTTTGCTTTCTAAATAATTTACTATAAAGTCTTTCCATTCCGTTAAATGTTTCACCGAACCCAGTACCCTTTTATCACAACAACAGAAAAAAAATTATCAAACATTGCTGCCTTAAGATTTAAAATTATTTTCATTTATGCCTTTTTGTTCTTCTTTTTTACGTGAATTTTGTATTCAGATCGATTTTCACTTAACTGTTATCGTCTCTTAAGTCCCTCTGCTTAATGTGAAAATTTAATCTTTTTTTTTTTTTTCGTTTTTCTTTTGGATAAAGAAAACAAAAGTTTATATTAAATTAATTAAATCCGTGTTAAGCAAAACCGAGACAATCAACCATTAATTCAATCGCGTATACCCACACACCAAATAATAATAAAAAGAAAACAAAAAAATAAACTTTGAAAACTAATTTTCATCTTACTAACCTAACTCAGGGAAAAAAAGAAAAAACAAGCAAGAAACGAAACAAAGCAAGCAAAACCCATATACGGTGTGTAGGAAAACTTTTCACATCATCGAGAACCACGAAATATTGTTAAGCCACTAAACTTAATTATAATCCATAGGTACACATACACATATAGAAAAAGCGAGATGAAAATAACTTGCAACTGTTACTGACAAACCAGAGCAAAAAACAAACAAACAAATTGAAAACAAAAACCTTTGGTGTTAAACAATACTTCAATGGCTAAGGGTGCCTTTGAGTGCAGTTTAATATTATTATCGTTGTTTTAATGGTTTTAGCAGCCATTGTTTGACATTTCTAAATACCAGTCGTTCAATAACAATGAGAAACGCAAATAGAAAATCGTTGAACTGAATTTTTTTTTTTTTTTTGCTTTTTTCGCTTCTTTGTTCGATTTTCTCATTTCATATTTAACAGAATGGAAATGGCTTGAGAGAAATAGAAAAAACACAGTCGTATAGTACCATTGACCTGAGTGATTTTTGAAAATTCACAAATAATATATAAACGAGTTTAGATTTGAAAAGAGTCGTGCAATGACGGTGAAGTCATTAAAACACATCTTATTACATATATAGTTCTCAAGTTGTTAAGTCTTTTGCAAAGAAAAATGTTTGCCTTACCATGTTGTACTTACCATTGGGTCATAATATGTTAAGCACTCGTGATATTAAGATTCGGAATCAAACAATTGTACATACTCGGGCTATAATAGACGGGAAACAAATTTAAAATACTCCATAATCTTATCTTACTAACAACTCAACGTATATATCTGAAACAAGCTCAACTATCTGCGGTTTTCAACAGCATTTGCAGCAATTGCTAAGTTTCTGATTATACATGTTCCTAATGCTTAAAAGAAGTGCGCTGGTTATCACAATATCTCTGTATTTTTTTTTTGAAAACCTTGATCTTCTTATTTATGCTATTGTTGTCGCTGGCTTATATCTGTTATTTGTTTACATTCATTCGCATATTTTTAAGTTTAGAATTATTGTTATTTGGTCCATTGTCACGCGATAAATTTCCTTCCGTATTGTGCTTAAATCCAAACATTCTTTCATCTGCATAGATGGTATTTCGGAAATCACTGATGATACGTTGACATCCACATCTTTAACATATTTTCATGTTAGGTAAAAATCGCTACTACCTCCGTCTATGTTTGTGGGCTTAAATCTCAATGAGGTAGACTTTATTTTGGTAGTAGATATACTGAGCGCTCAATCGTTGCAGGCTTACGATTTACCTATCAGACAAACCTGCTAGGCTGTGGCCGCTTCCCTGTCTATTTCGCTTTTCTCACTTTTTTCCAACCGTCATCATATCAGTTAAATAGGCGACATCCCCTCATCGATTGGTCGTATAGCAAAAAAAAAAAAAAAATTTAGGATACAGCATTAGGAGAAAATAATGTTTTCCTTCTTTTTCACTGAAATAGCAGAGGGCCAGCTTACGCTTATCGATATCAAGTAATTTAATATGCTACTCGATAACAAATTTACAAATCAAAGATTTTTTATCCGATAGTAAGAAACATGCAGACTTTATCGATAGCTGTAAGCTCTTCACTCGTTATCGCGAGCCCGCAGCTACCGTGGTTATCTTATTAAGTTTACTCGTTATCGAGAATAATAAAGCGCCCGTTTAACATAAAAGATGTTTACATTTGGTTCGAAGGCGAGGACAAACTTCCAGTTCCAGTCCTAGCATTTTATGCCTAGCTTGGCCACAAATGCACCTAAAATATCTTTGAGTGTCAAAACATTTTCAATTAATGCAACCATGTCCATACAATGTAAGTCGTGCAATCTTCAAAGTAGCAAAAGTTAATATGCAGCAGACCCTACTGAATATAACACAGTAGATTTGCGTTATTTGAGTCCATGTTGTACTAGTCCGGCAATAACAAATTCTCCTCTTCATGACACTGTATTTACTTTATAGGGGAAAGGATGGGCCCACAAATGCAATAAGCTATGAAACAGAAGCTGGTTTTCAAGATTTCAGGAGAACAAATGTTGCCTTAAAAACGATGAAATTCACATCTGTCCATCCGTCTCCATCAAAAGCGAGCTGGGAAGTGTGCTTAGCTTACGCTGGGAAATTGTCTCCCGATTGCGGGGTACGCTCCATATCTGTCTACTTCTGATTAACTCCGACTCAGACCTATGCGGTTATATTCAGCAAAGCAGTAGCTTTGCAAAGTCGATGGTGTACGAAAAAGTATATATGAGTATCTCTCCTCGTAGGCAGGAAGTCTCTGCCGCGAGGGCAGCCGGAAATTACCCAAGAAAAGACAAAGGAGCACAAACAATATTAGTGAATATTTTGATTAGTAAGTTTTGTAGTACATATATGTTTTATCGAAAAGCAGAAAGAATTTATTAACACACCCACCCAAATTTATTTGTAAAAATTTTGTATAAACATATAAGAATTAAATAAAAAAAGCGTATCTTTGAGAGAACCCATCTTTTGAGGACAAAGTTTTCAAAAATTCAAAACACTCGCGATACGATTATACAGTCGTGTTCGAAAAGCCAAATTTTTGGACCGTTCACAAAAATGTAACGAGTCAATAAAAAGTACAGTGCTCTTCCACTGCAAGTTAACAAGTAACCTTAATCAAGTGCCACATACATCGATTATTTCGTAATTTCTCTAATTTTTTTTGCAATCAGTTTACCCAACACACTTTGGAATGCAAAATTGGCATACACTTGTATACAAATACCGCCAAAAGTCATTGATGGTGACTGTTGAACAAGTTAAAGTGGATGCAATCAATTTGCTCGTGTAGCACAACCAATATAAATATTTGGGCAAATAATTCTAATTTTAGTTAACCGAATTCCAAGCTATCCGCACTGCTTTAAGGTAAGGTAACAAGATTCATACTTACCTGAACAAAATTATAGATATGTGGGTAGAATGCAATCAGTTAGCGGCAACACATTGACATTCATAGCTGACAGTTTACACGATTTTATTGAAAATCCGATTATGTTGCACGCGCTGGCATATAATTGAGCATATTTACTGTTTTGTGTGTACGCGTTGAAGTGTCTTGAATAGCGAGGAAAGTGGACTAAGCAATGACCTGAAAAATAGATGGTTAAGATTATTTAAGTTATAGGAGAAATGATATCTAAAGTAAAAGTAAAATAAAAACAAGAAATGGAAATTAAATCTTAATTAAATCCAGTTTAAGGAGACCTGCTCAACGATAAATAACAAATAGAATCAATTAAATGCTTTCTTATATTTATTTATGTATATTTGCTTTTAAATCAATTATTTACTGAAATTTTCTTCAAAAATTTATTATATTAAAATATAAATATATAGATATAGAGAAACAAAGTTATTTAAGAAACAACTAAAACAGTTTACTTTACGTATAAGGGAATATGTATGCATTTCGTTGAGAGCTGGAAAGAAAATCAATTGAGAATACAAAGCAATCGACACTATAGAAAAAAAAAACAAAAACAAAAAAAAAAAAGAACAAGAAAAGCATCAATACTTTGCACAAGTTGCCAAACATTGGTTATACATCAAGGGAAGTAAATAATGCTGTGGGCTAATGAACACTTTTGCAAAGAACGCCCACATATTTTATTTGAAGCTTGTTAGTAAACACAAAACAAGTGAAGCAAACGAATACACGTAGGAATATATATATATATATAATAAACAACTTCTTGTATAGTATAAAACCTGGCTATGTTTCCACTTATGTGCCCGAAAAAGAAAAGCACAAAATTTGCTAGCGCTTCAAAGCATTTACTTATGTATACAAATATACTGGCATTCGCAAACATACAACGAAATTCGATAGGTTGAGCGAAATTCAAGCCCTATACATCTATATGTCAGCTACAATTCTTTCGTCATTAACGTGAAAGCAAAATTTTGTAAATTTTTTTGCAAAACCTTTGTTAGCCTGACTTTTCACTCTGATCTTTCGATGGTCCAGTTCCAGTCAAAGTTCATATCATAAATTCCATCATGATTTTTCCAATTTTTCATGGATTACAGGCAGGCACCCAATATCGATCTTACTTGGACGTGAATTATTATGCAATGGCAGAAAAGACTTCAGAAGACTTTCAAAGGGACAAAAGCACTGAAACGTAAATCAATACAGAAGGTGTTCCTAACCACAAATAAGGAAACTTTATGGAAATCTCTCTTTTGATCATTTCAAGGCATAACAAACGAAACGTCGAAATTAATATATGCAAGTTATCGCTGACGTGTATTAAATGTATGCGAGAATTATTTCCCTTTTCACCAGAGAATTTTGCTTTAGTTTAATGCTTCTCTCAACACCATCAACAATACAAAGAAAGTTGCTTTAACACCAATAACGTGAATACATGCGTATGTGTGTAGAAATGTACTCAGATGCTTAGCAAATTGTTTTCGGCTTAAAGAGAATTTTTATGATAGGCACCATGCTTGCCTTTTTCTTAGAAAGTGCTTTTTATGATGGAACAGAATAATTTATATTTTATTTACAACATTTTTACGAGTAAAAACCAACAATGCTTAAATTATGTGGTACTTTAAACATGGCCATTGACTCTTAAGATTTTAAGCTTGATGGCTCATAATGACATTGTATAGGTATGATGTCAATACTTAACTGATGATTCGAATAATAGTAAGTAGAGGCCGAATCTCGTATACCCACCGCTATGCTTTTCGCATTCTACTCTCCAAGCTTTTTTATGTAGCACCCACATCGCTGATATTATAAAAAAAAAATTAATCCACCAGGTCGCCATTTCTAGACAGATAATATATATTGTTACGAAAATCCCAAATTCAGTTAATGTCGGCTAAGTAATTTTCGTAATAATAAATTCCCTAAAGAAGGAAAAACCAAATGAGCATTCGCAGTCGCCTAATGCAGCTGCAGGCCAATGGAAACGAGGCTGGGATTAGAAATAAAACCATAAATTTAGGTATAGAATTTGTGGCAAGGGTTTAACGTGGGTTCCTGCCTGTAAGGCTTAACCCCACGGTGGCCCAAACCACTTTTAAGCGTACTACGCCCCCTGGCGAGTTAGACAATCCCCACAGAGGAGGGGCCTAAACAGCACCAGAGTCCAGAACAGTTTATTGTGTATGGAAAAATAAACCCCACTCTGGTGAATGGCGAGGCCTAGCTGCACTCAATTGTTCCATTTTAGCTAGGAACTCGCCAACCACAACCACCACGAGTACTCCCCGAAGGGCCGCACCCAAGCAGTCAGGACTCACAAATTGATCAACTGACTGCTTCCGCCATAAGGCTTCCACTGTGCTGTTGATCAATTACCACCATTACCCGCAGGCATCCGTGACATGTGTTCAAAAGTAAAAATAGGTAAAAGGGGAAAACTTATTCGTCATATCCCTTTTCCATTTTTGCATGTATTAATTAATTTACCAGACATTTTCTATCAATCGGCCAAAGGGAAAGCCGTCCGTCAATTCCTTTTTGCATTATTAGTATAATTAATTTATTTATTTATTACGACTTAAGGACAAAGTCCATCATATACCCGCAGGCATACGTGGCTTTGTGAGGCGAGCTTCCTGACCCCCGTGGCTCCCAGTTTATTTTGCAAAGCCTTATGGCATACTTTGGGCGTTTGTTAAAAACAACCGTACTTGCTTCGGATCCTCCATACTTTCCTGGTAGCTAACACCAATGAACTACTTTTCTTCAAGATATATAGGTCTCGGGTCTTGCACTGAACATGGTAGACTAGTCTAATGCACTCTACCATGCACTCGCTAGATTACTACCTTCATTGTACTTAAATACCATTCAATATATTTCCTCGGTAGTAACTAGCTTATTGAGTAAGAGCTCTTCTTCTTAGGTATAGTAAGATGCTTGTAAAATTGTATATAAATAGAATATTTGTGAAAAGTAGAGTTAGTCTGGCAAGAACGTAGAAGTTGAGAGTACGGCCAAAATAAATCGTAAATAAATATTCCTACTGTTGTGAAAGACAAAGTAGTAAAATAAAAGAACTTTGAAGTGCATTTCTCTTGATCAAAATATCCACGATTTAGTGATACGAACTGTATCTTAGTAAAAGCGAATTTCATAACAATATCTCCATTTAAGTAGCGTATAGGAATAGTTTTAAATATTCGATCTTGTTCGCGGTATGATAAAAGAGTATAAAACCTTAAAAAAAAAGGGAAAAAATTAAGTGTAACCACTTGTAACTTTTTGGGGGCATGGCCGATTTGATCCGTTTTGTACATGGAGAGTAGAGTGTCTCGTTAAGTAAATGTGCAATTTATCAGCCTTCTAACTGTTATAATTTCTTTGTAACGAGCAAAAACCCACAAATTTTTAAATTTAAAAAAAAACAAAGTTGCCCCGCTGCGGGCTTCTGTTCTGACCAATTTGAAGCAACCTGCTTGCAGAAGCTTCCAACGTTTCCAACAAATTTGAAGTCGACATCTTCATTTTTGCGACCAGGAGAGCGCCAACAGCACACACACGGACGCACATATGGGCAGAGATCGCTTAATCTATTCAGAATTTCACGCTGATCAAGAATACACTTTACAGGATCTCTGAAGCTACCTTTTGAATGCTACATGCATTACGAAAAAAACCAAAACGAGTTTACCTCCATCCTTCCGTGGTTTGGTGGCGTTGGAAACAGTAGGTAACAGTAAAGACATTTCAGATATTGCTTTCTTTTTTTTGTTTTCAAATCGTTGTCTGAGGTGAGTTCAAAGGATTTTAACGTTTTAGACCAATAAAGCAATTGTTTTCGAATTTGATCTTTCGATCATATGTCAGTCATATGAATTAAAAAGATAGAATTCTTCTTTCGTGCACACCCAAAAAGCAGAGGTTCGATCAACACAATATTTATACTCTAGACTAATACTACTACATAAAAGTACACAGTTTGTGGAATGTTTCTGGATAGACTCAGCCTTGATCAAATCAGTCGGTTCGCTATAAACTGAATCGAATCGAGTCGAATCGAATCAAGTGAAGCTTCTCTTTTCTTTTGTTTCTCCGTCGGTTTGTCTGACTTTCCTTTTATGTTGTATTTGTTTACCTGTCTCTTTTTTTTCCTGATGGCTACGCATGTATTCCTGTGTTCAACTTATAGGATTCTATTTCCTAGATATTTCTTTCTAGATATATTGTTTGGCCAACTGCAATAGTCTCAAAAATTGATTGTAGGCAAATTTGATGATGAAACGTATCTTGAAACTCCTCCCACAAATACATATATATTCTTACACAAAAAAGTTTAAAATTTGGCTAATTTTTGGTATTTTCGTGAACATGTAGTTCTAAAAGTGGTGTAGACTATTGAGTAGTCAGCTTCATCCGACGGAAACGTTTTAATTTATTTTGGCTAAATTTTAAATGCCTTCCTGCTTATGCTATTTGCCCACATAGATGGAATTGGTTAAGAATTGAATTAATTGAGGGAGTGTCAAATGACTTATCGGAGACGAAATATAATTATTTCATATCATATGTAGAAGTCGTAGAAAGTTATCGGTAACAAGCATTGTTTTGAAACTTCCCTCCTGCAGGGCTTCTTTAGGTGTGTTAGGAGTTCGAGTCGCATTTGTGAGCAGGATAAGCACTTTTTCAAAGTTGTTTTGCATTCAAGCTTAGAAGACCGAAGCAGACCGAAAAGTCGGTCCGGTTTTCTATCTCAGTTCTTTTATGTTTTAGAGTTGATTTCAATTATCCTACTAACACTGTTGATCAAAAGCATTTAACAAACTTATTATATTCTCTACTGTTAGTTTGTGCAAAAGTAGTGAAACCAAGATATAAAATTAGCTGAAAGAATTCCTTTCTTTCTATTTGTAAAAATGTGTTTTCCCGCACAACTAAAACTTAAAAACTCTTTTTATCTACTTTCTAAGTCCGTTTGTATTTGTGAATATTGCTTTCGAACTGTAATCAATACATTTTTGTTTTCAAACTTTTTGCATTTTGTGAGTGCATGTTAGGGTAGTGTAGTCAAATAGAAGGACACCGTCAGTATAAGTACCAGTATAAACTTGTGTTTAAACTTAACAAAAAAAAAAAAACATTGTTTT